ACTGATGCACTGACTGCACTTTCCCTCTTCCTGCCTGCCTGTCTGAGAGAGTGACTGCTGGACGCAGGCTGGCTCGACGGGGAAACGGATGCACAAGACAGGGGGTCAGGGCAAGGGAATTCTGGGAGATTAATGGCCCAAAAGAAGCTGACACAGAGTGGAGAGCATAAAGACATATCAGACTGAACCATGCGCCTGTGTGTGTGTGTGTGTTTGAAACGGGTGTGCCAATAAGCATAAAATGCATTATACTCATTAAACCACAGAGGACAGTGGTCATTCAGTTAGTGCAGGCTAGAGGCTGGTGTGTGTGGTGGATGTATTCAGGAGGCAGCACTGCCCAGCCCCTCCTGCTCTGTTCCTACTATTAGCCACTGATTTACATGGGGAGCAGCAGCACTGTAGCTAGCTCTGAGTTACGACTTCAATTACAGCAGCAGCAGGACACACAAGCGTGCGTGTGCACACATACACACACAGGTGCTTAAGAGAGATGGAAGGACACAACACAGAGAATCTCATTGTGTCTGCAGATTGGGCTGAACAAGGAAATGAGGCCTGGATTGGATTGGATGTGACACAAAAATGTGCTTGTATTCTTGCACGAGAGAGAGTGTGAGGGTTTAAGAAGACACAGGAAAGGAGTCTGACCTTGAATGTCTGAAACAGGCGTGATTAATCAAAAGTATTTTATGAAATTATTTTCTGTTCACTGCACCCCTCAAAGGCTCTTCATTTATCACCCATTATGACCCTGCCTGTTCCTGTGTGTGCGCTACAGACGAAAAGGCAATGAGTGCACTCTGATTATTTATATAAGAAATGTATAAACTGTAGGAGAGGCAGGTTGTGTTGGTGCAGACATGCAGGCAGCCCTGTACACAGAGTGCTGCCTCAGGTGAGCTTGTGGGCAAACCCAAACTATATTCAGGGCACAGAAAAGATTTATAACCGTGACACCAACAATAACACTGCGATAAAGCCGCTATTTTGTGCAAACAAGAACAGCTGCCACATCCTCATTATTTATGAAATACTGACAATAGTGAAGAAGCTATTTGAAGAAAAATGTAAACATAATGGAGAGAATTACGAGGAGGAGGAGGGAAGCAGGGAATTATAAAATATTGAAAAATCACAAGAGTGAGAAAGAAGCTGGGGGCGTGTGCGTGGAGGGAAACATGCAGCTAAGTGCGAGTGAAGGGGAAAGAAGACATTAAAAGAGACTTATGGGGAGAGTGAGAACAAAATGTAGAAAGACAGAGATGGAGCGGGAGTGAGAAAGGAGGACATGAGTGTGATAGGCCGGGGCCCTAATGAAGATAGACAGCTCTTATCCATGCCCTGATAAGCAGGAATCTCCAATCACCGCAACAATGCCACTGCTATCAATAACGGCTGGGTGGCAAGTACTTCACTGGCATGAAAAGAGAGCACATGCAGCATCTGCTGGTGCCAGCCCATATTAAATGAGAATATACCCCGAAGAACTATCAGCAAGAGAGACAGAGAGAGAGTACGAGGTGGGACAAGAGAATGTAGGAGGCATATATCCTCTAACTCAAACAGAACCACAAGAGAGCAAAACAAGAGTGGAGGATAAGAATAAGCAACAAAAAAAAAAAAGGCATCCATTCCTATCGTTGTGATGTTTGATCATGTGAGTGAAAGGTAGCCAGGCGAGCGTAGGTGTGTGAGGAGAGATGAGGAGAAACTATAAGTGGGACACCCCCCCCCCCCCAATCATTACTCCAGCTCAGCCAATAACCAGACAGTCTTAATATCCCGCTCCTCGTGCCAGATGCACACACACAAATGTGCACATGCACACACTCGAATTATGAGAAAAATGTATTGAACTCCCAAAACCGTCATTAATCTAAACTCTGGTTCCATTAGGGAAGATTCAGTATAATTAGTTTTGCGTGTTTTCGGTGTGTGTGTGTGTGTGTGTGTGTGTGTGTGAGTCGGAGAGCTGAAGAGTGTGTGTGTGTGTGTGTGTGTGTGTAGTCTGAGTTATGAGTAGATGATATTAGATTGTGTCGTAGAGATGGAGGCTTCCCTGGTGATCTGCCATGCTGAACATGTGTTTGCCATTATTGCATTTCAGAAGGAGACAAAGAGAAAACTCAATCAGGTGAAATCTAATATTACTGTATGTGGAACTGTATACCTTGTGTTCACGTTTTTCTTTGGGTGTGTTTGTAAAGATCCTCTGCTTTGAGCACTAATATTGAATGGTGTTCTACCATAAGATAATTACACTTTTGCTCTGGGAGGTAACCCCCTCCTCCCCAGTGTGTATCCATGTACTGCATACACTTGTGTACATGAATATGATGTATACTCCTGTGTGTGGTTCGCTGCATGAAGCCCGTGGTGGAGAATTTAAGCCAAACTGTTACACAGGGTTGCCCTCACAAGGAACATAAAAATATTGTATTTGTGTGTGCAGATAGGGTGGTGAACTCCTCTGGTATGACCCCTGGGACTTGGACGCAGGCAGTATGCTGCTAATGCAATCTGGAACAGGAAGTAGGCCTGGGCTGGGCTATAGGCTTCTCACTTGTTTGACAGAACATCACACTGACCGGCTGAATGCTTCAGTGTGGGCTTAGTCCAGCTTTTATCTATATCCAACTTTTCACTTCTGCTGATCTAAGATGCATGGATGTTGGAACAAGGGCAGTATTTGATTTATGATGCTAGTTTTAACGCTCCGCTTTTGAAGTTCTACAATGATTTTAATAAGGAGGGCCATTCTGCATTTGCAAACCTTCTTACGCGCGTCTTTTCCCTGAATACAAAACAGTGGTGTGATGGACCATCAGAAATCTGAGAGAAACAGTTCTTCTGTTGTATCGCTGGGTATCAGGGGTGAGGTGGGCTTGTGTATATATGCATAGTAAGCATATGCAAGCTCTCAGAGGCACATCTCGAGAACCCCGGTTGCAGGGGCATTCATGCAAAAACTTAGGCGTGTATGGCGAAGTAGCTCATACATATTGAGCAAGTACCTATGGAAGCATGATTTAAAGTCTCTCAATTATGAATCTGGTCAGATGCTGTGTTTGCTCACACCTCATTACACACACACACACATACACACACACACACACACACACACACACACTCCCCTTTATCCCACTTCTTTAAGAGAAGAACTGAAAATGCCAGCCGCTCATTTAGCCAGGAGGGGTTAACATTTAGTAAAACAGAGAGGGAAAAGCAGACGGGGAGGAGAGGTGTGAGGCAAAGACCGAGAGAGAGAGAGAGAGACCTACATTCTGACAAATGATTCATCAGTCTAAATGAAGGTCTGACTGCACAACCAAAAAAAGATAGGAGGTGGAGGAGACAAACACAGCGTGACCGGGGACTGAGCCGGGCCTCGGCAACCAACGAGAGATAAAGGAATTACTCACTTGCCCTCCCCTGTGAGATAGTGCCCTTACACACAGAATGATCGCACCGTTATGGTTACTGATTGGCTTTCAGACGGCAACTGATCACATCGTCACGGTTACTGATGGCATTACCAAGGTAACTGATCACTTTGTCATGGAGATGCTGCTGGAAAATGGAGTGGGAGGAGGACCCAGTATTTATTCCCCTGCAAAATGTGTGTGTGGGTGTGTGTGTGAGTGGTTAAGGTTCTTTGGTTAAGTATAAACATTGTAAACTGCACATGGGGGGGAGGTAAATGAGCATTCAGGATGATAAGTCGATTTCCAAATAACTCCTGAAAGGGCCGGGGACGCTGTGTGTTCTGCGTGAATGGTTAAGGTCAGAGCGCATTCAGTCAAGCAAGTCACTGAGCTGCAGTGATTCTGTATGTGTGTGTGTGTGCGAGTCTGTTTACATCAGGTTGCATTTGTGTATGTGTGTGTATTTGAATCAATAGCAGCAGGGAATGAGAGACTCTATACTGTACATGTGACTACATTCCACTGGCTCACTTTGAAAAGTGTTATTGATCACCACAGTCTGCCTCTGAACTCAAGACGGCACCTTACTTATGCTCACCTGAACATGGAAGAAGCGTGTAGGTGCTCAACAGCACTAGCTCACGATCACAAATATAAACATTTGGCTTTCAGAAGTTGAAAACCTACTTCTCATCCCACTCACGCGCTTTGCTCAAATCCAACAATCTGGACCTCATTGGTACTTCAGGTACCACAATGCTTTGCTGGACAGCTTTGAAAGGCTGACTACAACAGTGTGTGAGTGTGTGTCTGTGTGTCTGTGTGTGTGAGTGTGTGTCTGTGTGAGTGTGTGTCTGTGTGTGTGTGTGTGTTATGTGGGGGTTATCACCAATATGAGTATTTGCCTTCAGGCACCTTCACCCTGAATAAATGAAGTATTCATGCTGTAAAGGCACACCAGACTGGGCTAAATTGGGCCGATATGTGGTGTTTTGTGTTGTCTCTGTGTGTTTTTTTTGTTTGTGTCAGCCACTAATTGGGCGCTGTGTCTGACTGTTTTTTCTCTGTGTGTGGTGCGTGGAGCACAGGGAGGCGCCAATGAGCGGTTAGACAGTTTAATGCCTCCACTGGAGGAAAGAGTTCAAGGACAGAATCGCTCACTCTCTTTATCACTCTCTCACCCTCTCTCTCTCTGTCTCCCTCTTCCCTTTCTTGTACCTCTTTCACTCAGTTTTTTCTTCCTGTGGGATATTTAGCAATCCATTCGCTGTGCTCCATTAAGAGACTCCACCCTGCCCTCCACATACAGACACACACGTCCACACACACTCCAATTAGTGGCTAAACCAGAGACTAAGAGCAATTAAAGCAGGCAGAAATCCTCTAAGCTCTGCTGAATTCACTTTATGTGTGTGTGTGTGGTGTGTTGTGTTGTGTGTGTGTGGTGTGTGAGAGATGTGTGTGTGAGAGAGAGTGTGTGTCTGAATCTGTGTTTATCCCTGTTTGTGTGCTAGTCTGTGTCCATTCCAATTAGGTGTGTGTCTGTCTGGCAAGCAGCCATGCAGCCTTTACCTGGCTGTAGGACACTGATGCCAAGCAGGTTGGAAGTGCGGTTGGCTACTCTGCTCCAGCTGTTGTCGTAGTTCCTCCTCCACAGGACGGCGGTGCACTGGTACTTGCCCGCCTCACGACGCCCTGCCCGGGTCACTGACAACCGAAAGTTGGTGTTGGAGTGGGAGCGGTCCACTGTGGTGCGGGTACCCAGCCCTAGCAGCTGCTCGCCCCACTGTAGCGTGCCCTCGCGAGTGAAAGTCACCAGGTCTTTGAACTCTCCCTGATCCTCGTCATCGGCTTCTGTGCCAGCGGGCATGAAGCGCCAGGTGACCGAGGTGGGAACGCGAGGGTTGTGGCGAGGCTTGACCAGGCACAGCAGGTCAAAGGAGTCCCCAAAGGTAACGGATGGTGTCCGTGATGAGGCCGACACCATGAAGGAGGACTCTAGATGGTGGAGGAAAAGAGAGAGGTTGTTAGGACATGAGTAAGTAACAGCACAACACAGCCTGGGTGTGTGATCAAGTCTGTTTTGCTTTAAGCTCAGCAAATGATGTAGAGGTTCATAACCATATTCCAGGAACAAACTTTCCTTTTAAATATGGTTACCAAGAGGAAAAAAGCCCCCTGCTGGAATGAAATACAAACAGTATTTACTTTAAGTGCACTGGCTTCTTGGTAAAGCAATTCTCACTCTCCAGAAGTATTTCCCTCCATCATTATGGGCAAAAAACTGCCACTTTGCTTATGCATGTGCGTGTATACTATGTTCTGTGTGTGTCTAAGTATGAGTTGGTGTGCTCAACTGTGAGAGTACGCTTCAAAATGAATGGGTGATGCAACAAAGAAAACCCATGGGAGAGATTTCCTCTAAGCGCCGATGTTCGATCTACGCCCAACTCCTTGCCAAGTCTAAACTATCCTCATTAAGCTAAAAACGTTCACCCAACTCCATATATTATTGCCAAGAGAGAGAGAGACAGAGACACTAGATAAAGAAAATTCCTTTCTTTACTCATGTCCCTTTAATAACCTGGGCCTACTGTGCCTATTTCAGGGCATTTCAATGAAAGTGAATGATTGAGCTTGAATATGTTAAAGATAAAAAAAGAGGGAGGTAGCATGGAGAGCTGTTGATGAAGTCAGATTTTTTTTCCAGATCAGATTATTCATTTCCTTGAGACTTTGCAGATTTTCTCCATTATGCTCTTGTCAACAGCCCCGTCACTTTCTCCCTGTCCCTCACCCTCTCTCTTCCACTGACAGCCATCACCCCCGGTGTCCTTCAGGGTGTGTAATCAATGGCTTTCTGTCCAGACTTGGCTACTGCTGGGACAGCCGCCTGGGGCCATAATTCTCTAACAGACAATAACTCTCCCATCTTCCTCTATCTCTCATCTGACCGCGCCCCTCTACCATCCATCCATGTCCCTCACTGTCTGCCTGCCTCTGTGACAGAAAAGAGGATTTCACGCCGATCCATTCACCCATACAACTCTGCCTTTTGTTTGTGTGAATAAACATGAATGCGTTTGATTCGTTCACTGTACGAAAAATGTGTGTGGTTGAGTGGGAGAGTGTCTGTACTTGTATCTATACATTGGCTTGTGTGTTTGTGTGTGTGTG